TATATGTATGCATAGTTACGTTTCTACAACGTTTCTACATTGGGTTTTTTTTTTTTTTTTTTTTTTTTGAATGTCCAGAGGACCATATTTAACTTTATAGATTCTTCTACCTGGATTATTGAGCATGTATCAGGATATTACTCGGACTGTTTGCATCTAGTATTTGCACCAGATTGCAAAGAGACGCGTTGGTTCTCATTCCATTCACTCCCAAGATTATTTGTTGCTTACTCTTCCATTTGCATTGAGTTGAGTAAAAAAAAAAAAAAAAAGTTTTTGTTCGCTCGACAGCTTTTGCATGGAATATATTACAGAAGGACAGGAAACCAAAATATATCATATCACCAAGGACTTTTAAAGCTAAACTGAGATTACTTAAGTCTTATTCATTAATATTTTATTATAATTATTATTATTTTTATTATTCTAATCTTGTCAGTTTTAACTATGTATATTTGTACCTAAGCTGAGGGGGACTGGCACCAGGGAAGTTAAAGAAGGCAAGCCTGTGATCAGAAGGTCACAGGTTCGAACGTCCTGACCATAACATCAAAAATTTGGATGGGGAAGGTGAAGCACCTACATCTGCCTCCACCCTCATTTGCCCCACTCTGAACCCTTGAACAAAGCCTTTAACCCCTCCCCCATCTGTTCCTTTGGTGCCCTAGCCCTGTGCTACATGGGCTACAGTAGCTCCTTGGTCAGTGGTTGTGTCAGAAAAGGTATCTATTGACAAATCTTCATGCGAGCTCGCTCACTGTGGCAATCCCTGAAGAAGGGTACAGCCAAAAGAACAAAGAAAACCTTTGCAACTGTGTTGCTGCTGTTTATCTTGGGCAGGTATTCCTTGAAATGCAGATTATTACTCTCAATGGGATATTCATGGTTAAATAAAGGAAACGAAATTGTGATAAGTAAACTCCATTCAGAAGAGCCCAAGAATGAGGGGCAATCATCAATCCAAAGTCTCTTTTACTGTAAAAGTTTGACTCACAGGAAATAGAGAAACATAATTACAGTTCCGGATTTACAACTACAAGGTCTGAGCTGTTTGGGGGCTTCTGTTGTTCACAAGCGGATGTCTCATTGTGCTTCTAAATCTGATTGGATTATAAGATTAGTCTATATTTTTTCCAGATCTCACAATGTATTTGGCTTGGGAAACCATCAAAGGGAATGTGGTGCTGCAAAGCATGGTGGCTGCACTATCAGGTTTGTTTTTGTCTACAAAATAATTTCTGTCTAAAATCGTTCATTCTGAATAAACGATACACAGACGAGGTATTTCAAAGAGTTTATCAGCTGCAAAGCTTTCAATCACTCTCAGTCCAGCTTTAAAATTCAAATCAACCAAGTTATTGAGTTTAAAAGGCAAAATCATGTAACAAGATATTTTTTGATGAAGGTGGTATCAGGTGAAGCCATCAGTAAATTTCAGTGTGTAAGTATCACACAGCAATACACCCAGACTGAAAGAGTCAGACGGTTTGTCCATCTCTCAATCAAAATGGGCTCTGCTGCTTAATCTTAGAGTATTATGGTGTTCTGTAAGATATTGGAAGTCTGTGAAATCATAATCAATCTTGGATTGAATGCAAATCTTTTTTTTTTTCTTAAGCACAAGATGATGACAAGAGCATCAAGACTGCAGCTCAGAAAATGTTCATTACACTACAATGATTAACTATAAAGAGACTATATTTATATAATGTAGTTAATCCTCCATTATAGTAGTCATTCATTTTCTTTCAATCTATCATAAAAAAATAAATTTCAGCAGTGTGTTTATTTTGCATGTCTCAATTCATTTCACAGCTACTTTAGTTTAATCTATCAGAATGAGAGTGCTTTATTGTCCTTGCACAGTGAAGTACAATGAAATTACTTTCCGTACAGCTGTCCTAAAGATGGACAGAAGTGTACAGGGGGCTGCAGCTTCTAAGATATGCTGCCACTGTTGCTTAGATAAGAAAAGGGGAAGAAAACATAAGGAGAGAGGTACAAAACAAAATATCTCTCACACTGTGTCCTTGACAGGGCATGGTTCACAAACTGTGGAACAAGTATTATTAATGGAGAGAGGCAGCAACTCCCTTTTGCCATATTTCTGCTAGACTGATAGGCTTAACATTTCAAAGATTTTTGAAACTCTGGTCTAAAACTAACATGGTTTATTCAACAAGAATAAGTGTAAATATGTAATATTTGTATTGTCTTCTTTTGGCTGTTCCACAACGGCATCTTCCTCCATGTCACCCTGTCTGCTGCATCCTCTGTCCTCACCCCAACTACCTCCATGTCCTCTCCAGCTGCATCCATATACAGTATCTCCTTTTTTTTATTTTGTATAAATACATACCAACATATAAAAATTGTTAGACTTCCTGTTCTCTGCTTCTGTCTTCTATGAACATTGTCATTGTCATCACTTCCTGATCGTTCTCGACGAAGACACACACTTTTTCTCCCTCTCCTGTTTCCCTCCTGCTTTTGCTCTTGTCCTGTGAAACTTTCTCAGATTCTCTCTTTACACATCTTACGAACTGTAAATTATGGGTCTGGTTAGCAGGTCTCTCAATGCAATTGATAAAAATTTTGACGAAAAGACAGAGTGTAGGTAGGAGAACCCTCATGCCCTAAAGGGGACACTCACAGCTGGATAAACTATGAATTTCTGGGGGAAGTGGAAAATGGTTTGCCTGTCCATATTGTCCGATGAGGATGCTGAAGATGCGTACATAGTTGGATTTATGATAACAGGATTTCTGCTTTTTGGAATTGATGGGTACCTGGGATATTGACAAATTTGAAAGATGTTTCAGGTAATGATAAGGCTGTCTGTCTGGTGTGAAGGAATGTACTGTGCTTCGAGCGCTCAGACTCAGGTGCTATGTGAGCTAAACCAAAAGCTGGATGTGATTGAAAATTGCAAGCCACTTGCAGCTCCTGGAACTGTTAGCGTGAAGGATTTGACCTTGGAAAAGGCTACAAGCACGGCAGAGTGACCACAAAATCTGGTTGTTTTGGATCACCATTGAGAGGTACCAGCAGAACTTTTAAAGGCAGACTAAATAAATCAAGCAGAGTCGGCCTGTCCCAAAATAATTATTACTATCTGAATCTGGTTCCCCGCTTGGCCTTGGATAGGTCAACTTATCTCAAAATCTCCTGGAAGTTATGCGAATAAGATGTTCTGTTCTGCCCCCCCCCCCCCCCCCCTTCCCTTCCTTTCCTGAGGACTTCTATGGACCTGCATCAGAGTCGAGCAGGCAGATAAACACCTGTAGAAGGAGGTGAGGACTGAGCTTCCCTAGTTTCTCCTCATGTGAGCTTTTTAAATTGTTTTTAAGATTGCATTTGCTGTTTTTATTTATTTATTAATTCATTTTGTACATGTCCAGTACAAACTGACAACTTTCTTCCTTTGCAGTCCCATGACTAACAGCTCTCACTTTGTCTCTCTGCAGGCTTCTGGCCTTGGGCTACTGGCTATCTCTGCAGAAAGGTCAGCAGGAGCACTCCACACTCACGAAGACAGACCAATTAACACACCCACTCTCGGAAACCTGCATTACTTATTCAGTATCCCTCCTAAGGACTGGGGAACTGGACTGAGGGAGGAGGTAGAGAGGATGTAGGAAGAGATGAAGGAGATCAGTGGAAATGTGGAGTTTAATTACCATCAGCTCAGCAAGCCATCTTCACAGAGATAATTCCTTAGCAGGAGCCAGTACAAGCAGACCGTCAGCACCCGGAGCTAGTATCTGTGTTACTGACAGCTTTTACATTTACACTGGCTTGTATTTAACAACACTTAGATCAGGACGAGAGCAGTCTTATTTGACAAGGCTGACACAGATTAAGATGAATAATAAGATAAGTAATTTATTTATTTATGTTGTTGTTGTAAAAACCTCTTAATTGGCTGGGCAACAGCATTTGTTAGAAGTTTGAGAAACCTCTGTGTTTGTCAGGATGTAACTGAACATCATCTTTAGATGAGTTTTCAGTCACGACACACTTGTGCAGCTTTAAACACAAATCTACAACCCTGGCTCAAGCATAAACACTTAGTCTCACCCCAAAAAAGGAAATAT